CCGCCACCCCCGCGCCCGAGGCCGCCCCCGAGCCGGCCGCCGCCGCAGCCGCCCCCGCCGTAAACGCCGCCTGCGCGCCGCCGTTTTCGACGGCGGCGGTCGAGGCGGCAGCGCATGGCGCCGGTGATATCATCCATCGGGGGGAGGGGGGCGTTGCCATTGAGCAGGCTGGGGGCTGCGGCGGCTTTGGCAAGGGCAACTTTGCGGCCCTCTTCCTGTCGATTGAGGAGTACGAGAAGACCCTGAATGTGTAGTGGGAGATTGCGTCGCGATACTATAATCAGTTGCATGTCGAAGGGGGAGCGATCCTCGGTCCTCGCTTGGCGAGCCCGGGGAGAGGGAGCAGGTTACAAGAGTGTGCGAGCAGTGGCAGGAGGGTGGTGGTGCACATGATCGAGCCGCCGCCGATGCGCCTTTGCATTGTCCTGGAGCGTTGCTGCCCTGTGCGGGGGTGCGGTCGGGCACGCGGGCGCACGGCCAGGCCTGTGCGTCGCAGCGTGGGCTGCTTGCGTGAGCAGGGGGCTCTTGTGAGCTACTCACTGCATGCGTTGCGTGCTTGTATCATCAGCACTGTTCGTCGTGCCGCTGCGCCGTTGCGATTTCACATAATCTCTGCGTGGCGGTGCGGCTTCCGATTCCAGGCGTTCGCAGGTGCCAATGTCTCCCCTGTATTGATGAGGGGCTTGTGCATTCGAAGATCCCAAGATGACAACTGAATGACAATTTCAGCATGTCACTTCTGCTCCCTTGTATTCCAGGAAGAAGCTGCAATTACACACGCATGATACGCCGCATGAGTAATCCCAGGATGACGGGCAGCAGGCATGCCAGATCAGCCGGCAATACGCAATAGTTGCAGCACATTCGAGGGATATGCGTGCCACAGGCATGCACTGCGAAGCTCTGTTTGGGCTCTGCTGCTGTGAATCCGGCACAGCCGGCTCCACCCACCCTCTCCCCGCAGTGAGCTGCTAGCTGACCACCACACTCGCAGGTGTGCCTGAAGATACTTGTGCCAATGTCACTGAAGGCGGGCTTGATCGTCTGTATGATAACCAATGCCACACCTTGATATCAGTACCACTCACGTGCAAAAGCACTATACGTTAGATTATCGAACCGCGAAGAGGTCAATGATCTCAGCGGGTCAAACGCCACGATAAGACGCACAATTGTGTCATGTCAGATGTGCGCGCAGAGCTTCAGATGAGAGCTGCAGCGCGAGCCTGACTGGGCATTGAGGTCTTTGGGCACCTGCTGCTGCAGCGCCAGGCGCTGAGCAGCGCTGTGCCAACGCAATGATGATCAAGTCGGCTTCTGATCCGGGAGCGCCGGTGTGTCCCATACATGTCGATGCAAGTGAATCCTACCCTGATAGCACCTTCTGGGTAGCTCAGGGAGGCGGCGCCGGCGACAGCATGCGTTCAGCTGCAAAGTGCGCCGCCGAGCTGAGCTGCTGGGCAGCCGCCAAGCGGCTGCTGCGCTTGGCCCTGTGGGACGTGATCGACCCCCGCTGCTCTTTCCGGAAGCGCTGGGACGTGTTGATGGTGCTTCAGCTGGTGTTTCTGGTGCTGGAGGTGCCTTATGTAGTGTGCTTCGGCATCCAGTACAGGTGGGGATACACGGGTGGAATCAATGGCGGCTGCACCAGGAGGCGGTTATTCATGCGGGCATGACGTAGCACACATCGCAGCCGCATGTGGGAATTATCGTCTACTTAACCGAAAGTAGCACCCTCCTTCGTCTTCGTGCGGCGCGCATCCCCCTCCCCCCTCCCCGCACTTGCGTTCTATTTGTCATGCACATCACTCTCCCTGTGCACGCTGCGGCTCCAGGCCCCAGGATCCCCTTGGGGTGCTTGAGATAATCATTGACATCACGTTTGTCATGGACATCTGGTTGAGCTTCAGGACTGGCATAGTGGGTGAGCGGCCAGCCACCCCAATCGGGACACCAGGCCTGGCCACCGTCCGCAGAGCTCCTGCGCCCTCTCGCCGCCAAGCAGCCCCGCGCAGCACGCTGCGCCCTCGCCCCTATCCCAACGCGCCCGCGCCTGCCGCGCCGCCGCACCTGCGGCAGACACGCGGCCGCAGGTGCTCATCGCCGACCGCCGAGTCATTGCGCGCCGATACCTCTCAACGTGGTTCGTGCCTGACCTCTTCACCTGCTTCCCGTACGAGTGGTTTCTGCAGGGCCCGGCCGGCCTGTTGCAGCTCCTGAGGGTGCGAGGGTCGCAGCGAGGGCGCGTGCGGCGGCCTTGCTGTTTCAGGCGTCAGCGCAAGGGGCTGGCGAGGATTTGCAAGGCATGGCGAGACGGATGTGCCTGGGCAGCCGCTGGACCGCGAGCTGCACCATGTCCAGCGACTGACACGTCGCAAACAGGTCGCGATCAGACGAGGTTTTTTACAAATCGTGGGCCAGTTGGTGACGGGGTACTGCAAATGCATGTTCCCAGGCGTTGCGAGTCATCAAGGCGCTGCGCATGCTGCGGCTGGTCAAACTGGTCAAGATCAGCCGGTCGTCTCTCCTGATGCATGTGAGAAGGCCTGTGGCTGCGGATGGCTATCTGCACGCATGCGTGCAGGCATGATTGATCTTGTTAGACCATGCAGGTTGGCGTGCACGCAACAGTCCACAGGATCTGTTTCAGGTGCCATACCATGCGTGACCGGAGATGCGGCTGTTTCCTGTCGTATTGTGAGCCAACCGCCCAACCAAGAGTCTGGGCCCTTGATCCAATCAAACGCTGCTGCCTGTGATCGGCCCGCAACTTGTGCACCCGCCGTGCAGCACATTGCCCATGCATTGGGGCCACATTTGCTGCAGCTGCTGAAGCTTGTCTTGCTCGCCACGACCCTGACGCACTACATTGCCTGCTTCTTCTACGTAAGTGCGTGTGTACGCTCGCGGCCCCCTCGCCTGATCAGCTGACTCAGCACCGCTCAGGCAGATGGGCTGGCGGCACATACTGCTTGTGTCCAGAAAGAGAGGGAACAGCTGGCAGCTCAAGGAGGGCACCGCATGTCGAAGAGCTTGCTTGGATTCGTGCTTCATGTGCAGGTCAAGCAAGCAGGTCAGCCCACCTGCAGACTCATGCAGGCGCCACACTAAAAATGCACAACCAGATGCGACGGTCCTTGATCACCCTCAACCTTACCGCAGTACTTAGCGCGCCTGGGCAGCGGCGTCAAGAACTGGGTGGCTGCACTCCACTTGCAGGACAAAAGCGAGTGAGGCGTCCGCGCAAGTTCCTGCCTTTGGCCCTCCACTGCTTTGAACCCAGCACAAATTCCACGATTGGGATGCAAAGGATTGTCAGGGGGGTGCGATTTGAATACCACCAGAGACAGGCAACATGGCAGGCACGACAGTCCCTTACTGTTTCATGCTCATGCCCCTCGATGCCGCTGTTGACGCATGCAGCGCCGTGAAATACGTGACCGCCTTGTACTGGACTGTGTCGACGCTAGGCACAGTCGGCTACGGCGATGTCCACATCATCTCCACCAAGGAGCGGGTGCGTCGTCCATTTTGCGTGGGCTCACTGCCGGTTGCTGGCAGAGTCCCCCCCACACACACACAATCATGCACGCACGCACGCACGCATGCATGCATGAAGAAGCTCATCCTGCCGCCTTGTCGCCGCCACCGCGCTCCCCTCGCCTGCAAACTCAACGAAACTTTTCTGCTCCCCCCGGCGGCCCTCCCTCCCCAGGCACCCACGCTAGTGCTCCTGCCCCCTTTGCCCCACCCCTCC